TCCTGTACGTAACCGACTTTTTTCTCGATCTAGTTGACGCCATTTTTTTAAGCGCTTTTGGTGTTTTCGGAAGGTTGAACGAAGGTGACGTATCTGGTAAATTAAAAAACGACACATAACTTTTTGGTCGCTTGTCGTTTTGGGAGGCTGGACGGCCTTCGGAGCGGTAATGCCTACTTGCAATGATGGCTTCGCGCAATCTCAGAGTGTTGCAAGACCAATGACTATTTTGTCAAGAAAGTGTCAGTTGTACTGAAGAAGGTCGCTGTTGGGACGTATGCAATGAAGAATTCTAAACAAATCGACGGGTCCAACGATACTGTTGCAATTCAAAATACACAGTTTTGAGTAATTTTGCTTCATCAATTTTCTGGCGCAGTTGGCGCAATTGTATATTCAGATGTATAGATTATCCCGTTATAAAACCCCCATATAAAAAAAATTGAGGATTTAAATAGGGTGACCTTGGAGGCTATCTTATGTGACAATCTCTACTTATCCAACGACCAGGAAAGGCACTGTCTAAGTCAGAGTTCCCCAAATTTTTTTGTGTCGTAGACCCCTTGCCATGTTTTTCCGAGTTGGGTAGACCCCCTACTTACCTGATATTGATTTCCTTTAAATTTCTAACTGTATTGAAGTTTAGTGTTAAAAATTTAAAGTAAAAACAGATGTTAATTTATACATTTATTAATTGAATTTAAATTAAAACTACTCAAAATAAAATTTTGTATCTGTTATGTAAAATATACGTAACATTAAATAAACAGGTGTCTGACCAATAAGTGCCCGCATTGGGAATAAGTGCCCGCATTGAAAAAAAAAAAATAAAAAAAAGTGACAAATCATAAAAAAAAGTGTTTTACTTAAAATAGTACAATAAGCGAGTTCGTTTATTAATTATAAGATAAACGTATGTTCTACAATAATTTCACTGTTAGTTTGATTAAATTCCGCTTCTTATACGTTTAAGTTATCTAAAAATAGGCAAAAAATTAACGAATTTTAGTGTGTACCTATCCTTGAATTTTCAGAATAATTAAAAAAAAATATTTTCTATAAAGGGGGGTTCTTTAAAAAAATCAATGCGGGCACTTATTCCCGATGCGGGCATTTATTGGTCAGACACCAATAAACATAAAATAAACTATAAATAAAATAACATAAGCAATAAGTCAATATTTTTAGTGAGAAGGATGAACCTGATGCTTTAATAATAAATTATCAACATTTGGCGTCAATTTTGTAAGGGTTAATCTTAAATCTCCTCGGCTAATGATGTCCAGTCTGTTTCTTTTTTTCGTTAGGAGATTGGTAACAGCGCTGAACCCCCTTTCCACTAGGTATGACGATGGAAAGGAAATTAAAAATTTCCTCGCTATATTCCATAATACGGGATAAGTAACGGGTATGTTGTTTTGCAGCCAGAATTGCTGATATCCGTTTTTAAACTGAACCTTAAGTTCTTCGTTTGTACTTAGTTCAGTCAGTTCCTTTTGTATTATGACATTCGTTTCTTCTATGTCACCATATGGATTAATTATCCACGGTGGTATTACCATAGTCAAAATATCCTCAAACCTAGATTCAAAATCTGAATAGAGGGCATTTAAATGTTGAACGTAAGTTGAAACGTCGTCTTCCTGGCAGCTTGTCTGTGACAAATTGGGGAACTGAGAACATTCGCCCCGTCCAATATTTTGCTTCATTAGTTTAACTCTGGCAAGAAACGCTGATAAGATGGACTTTGTTTTAATCAAATTTAAACTGTCGCCTTGTAATTGCAAATTAACCATATTAAATTGTGTAAACAAATCTGTTAAATAGGCGATGTCTGTTTTCCTCTTCATTAAATTTTATTTTAAAATTTTATCTTTAGTATCCAGAAATTCTAAAATAGTCTCAAAAAGTGCAAAAAATCTTGTCAAACATAAGCCTTTCGACAGCCAGCGTACTTCAATGTGAAGGAGTAATTGATGAAAGTGTTCGTCATTTTCTTCACACAACTGCGCAAATAACCGCGTATTCAACGCGTTGCTTTGGATTCGGTTTACTGCATCAATGACTAAATTAAGTGATTCATGCAATCTAACACTCAAATTTTTAGCAACTAAATGTTGTCGATGGATGACGCAATGTATTGCTAACACCCCTGACACATTTTGTTTTAAATAGCTTATAAATCCACGATAACGTCCAACCATGGCAGGTGCTCCATCTGTAGCTACTGATATTATATTTGATGAAGGAATTGCTTTTTCAATGAAGTAATCCTTCATAACATGAAATATTGATTCACCTTTAGTGTCGGTTATCAAAGTTCTTGCGAAGAGCCGTTCTTCGTAGATTTCTTTATTCATAATAAAACGAACATATGCCAATAATAATGCTGCATTATCAGGTAAAGTTGACTCGTCCAGTTGTATAGAGAAATGGGTCGTTTGCAAATAATTACATAAGAAGCTTTCAATATCAGAACTCATTTCATCAATACGTCTTTCAACAGTATTGTTGCTTAAGGGAATTCTTTTAATGATATCAGATGCAGGTTTGTGTAAAACAGTTTTTCAAAACCTCTTCAACGGCTGGCAAAATTAACTTCTCTCCGATAGTATGCGGTTTTCCGGATTTTGCTATAAGTAACGAGATATTGTAAGACGCCCGCAAACCATCATCATTTCTTTGTGACGTCGAAGCGAACATTCTGTCCAGTGTAGGTCTCTTCTGAAATTTATCTTTGAGTGTTTGAAAGTATTTCAAATCTTTCTCTGTTTTATCAGGGTGGCATCTTCTCAGATGATCTTGCAGTTCAGATGGCTTCATAGCGTCATTGCCCAAAACTGTTACATAAAAGGCACATAGGCGATTGTTTGTCCGGCAATGATGGAATGAAGCCAAATTTCCAACAATTAGCTCGAATTACGGAGATTGCACTGTAATTATATTACTGATTGCTAAAACTTTCAAAAAGAAACTATTGAGGAGTCCTCGTGTAATTTTGCATGATTGAATATTTAACTAGTAATAAATAAAGTCATGATTGGCATAATTTATCTATCTTTGCTAACTACGAGTACAAAACTAAAATTTCATAAAAAATAATGTACTTACTTTTCTCCAGCACTCTCAAACAAAATAACACTGACTCACTATAATTTGTGTGATATACTTATCTGTTTATATTTTTTTAAATATTTTCTTAGCACTTTCCTTTTCAAGATTCAGGAAACGAATAAACGTATTTGTCCCACATTCGTATTTATAGAGTGACGAATTGAACAAGTCAGTGCAAGGTAGCGAAGCTCTGAAACTGCGACTCTCAGGTTTTTACAAGTTCAAAATGTATTGCGACCACAAAGCGAATACCAACATCCTACAACTTACACAATTTTATAACATATATAATAAATTTTTTACTTCATAGGTACTTTTATAAATAATGTATATGTTTTGATATTATAAGATAGTATGATGTAAGTAAATAGGTACTATCAGTGTATGTGTTGAGATCCACTATCGTGGACCCCCATATTCATTTCATGGACCCCCAAATTTTTTTTCGCTGACGTAGACCCTTTGCAGGTTGTCATAGACCCCTAGGGGTCGATATAGACCACTTTGGGAATCAATGGTCTAAGTAATGCCGTACATCCCGTGCAAAGTGGCATGGGGCACCATCGCATTGAAAATACATGCGGCTTCGAACGTCCAAATGTACATCCTCTAGCAGCTCATGCAAACTAATTTGTAGAAAATCAAGATATGACTGACCATTCAACCTGGCGGGCGATTCATATGGTCCAATTAATTTTTTGTTAAATATAAATAAATTAACGCCGAACTGACGTTAAGCTGTGTCGGCAAACTATCACGCGACTTCCATACATTTTGCAAACAAATATTTACATACAGACATGTTTTTTGTTGAGTATGATATCATCGGTTTCTGGTAGTTTCCGTATGATCATATATTACAAATACCCACATTACCTTATCTACCAGAATAAAGTTACTTTCCTAATTATATTGTTTTATTTATCACTCTTGAAATAACCCAGTCTCATATACTTGTGAGGTGTTTGAATTAAGTCTGTCAGAAGCCTCAAAAATGTCGAAAAACGAAGTTTTTGTTTTTTTTTCGACGATAGCTCCACCGCCACTGTACCGATTTTCAGAGCTTTTTCGTAATTTTCATAGTAGTAACCTAGGGTCAAAATTTCATCAAAATCCTGATAGTACTTTCAGAGTTATCATTCATTTAATCTTTTTCGTTAGTTATGAAATGGAACTAATTATATTTCTCAATTCGTCTTGCACTGCAACAGGACATTATAATGAAACAACTGTAAGCACTTGATAATAATTTATAATTCACTTAGATACATATCCTTATTTGCCATAACTCACCTGTGAAACGTACATTTTAGCAATATGGAAAAAGTGTTGTCATGGCAGCCTATGCTTTGTATATATGCTAATTTTATTCTTCTCCTCAAAAGTTAGTTACGGAACATATATTACTATGAATAGGTTGGTATTCAAATCAAAATGCTTCCCACAATCCCACTATTTCATCACAATCACAGCAAACAAGTAAATAATGTTTTTCGCCGCTACTGGTTCTAACCTAAAACCACCAAACACATGACATCTCGTGTGGTAGCGTAACGACCCTTGCTTCTAACGTTGTAACGTCCTTTGACGCAGGTCAAATTCACCGACAAGAGCCATGTGGCGAACGTTGGACACATGAAATCCATCAGCGCTCTCCCACACGATGTAGCGAATGGCCATGTGTCCAACGTTGGAAGGCATTTGCCACATCGTGTGGGACCGGTTTAAGCGTTCTCTCCGTATATGTTTTGTAGTTGATATGCTCGGGAAAACGACATCTTGATATGACATTTGACCTTGAACGCCATTGTGCTTAGAGCACAGAACCTACGCTGGTCAGAAATCTTAAAAATCGACAAATTTTCTGGATACTGGGCGACATTAAAGTAGCCAATCGCCAAGCTATCCATTTTAGTCGCCATTTAAAGCCGTCAAATCGCCACGCTCGGCAACCCTGCTGCGAATATTTGGGATATCTCCAATTGACAGTTGTCAAAATGTTCGTGATTTGACATTTGACACTCCAGAAATATTTGAAATCTTTCATAAATGTCTTCTGTATTCATTCCAAATTCCAAGTTAAATAATGAAATGTAGGTTCTCTTCAAGAAGTAAGCCGGGTAATTATATGATTCGTACAGAACTTAGATTAACGCTACCATTTTATAGAATTTGAAAAGTTGTCAACAAATTCTTTTTAAGTTATATATGGATATGAAGAGCTCATAACTTGTTAGGTTTCTGTATCCAAAATTATGGATAAAAAGGTAATACCGCTGTATATAACAGACAGCCTTGCTGCTCTGGTCGCTTTGGCGACAAAAGACAATGTTTTCAAATACCTCAACAAATCTCATAAGTGAGTATGGATCAAAAACATGTCCAAATGAGATACTCATAAAATCTGTCGTAGGCTTAAAAATTTAGCTTCCAAAATGAAAGCGGAACTGTTGCTGCTGTGTCGAGAGGACCAAGAGAAATGTTACATTTTAGCTAAGCGCTATGTTTTGCTGATGGATCACCTATTTAAAGTATCTGACGATCCGAAAATATATTCGCACTTTGTTTCTCAATGACTATAACACTGTAAAGACACTCTTGAATAACCTCAGGAGTGAACTAGAGGAAAGGTATGGTATTACGGTAGTAAATATAAAGCAATGTCAAATCTGTGAGTTAAGGGTTGGAAATATAAGACCTCTTTATAGAGTTTACATAAACGTATCAATATATCTGCACATGTAAACCTCTGCTGAATTTTGTATATAGGGTGTCATTCAAAGATCCATTACAGCAGCATTATTCCATAAGCCCACTGACAAGTAAGGACAACCTTCATAATTTGCCCAGTTTATGAGTGTTTTAACTTATGCTGTAATGAAACATCAAGGCTAGTTGGATACTAGCCTGGTCTGCCAATATGGCAAATTTTGTACTTTGTGTATGTAGTATCTGCACCAACAACTGATCCTTTCATTCTGATGGGTTTACAAAATAAAATTTCAGATCAATGGATATGATTGAGCCATCTTTAACATTCAGTTTCAAGGTCAGTTATATTCTTCCAAAAGACAACCTATATTCTGACTCCACTGTTGAATAGATCAGAATATTGCACATTTGAATCTTAAATATAGCCGTGATCATTCAAAATATAATGATGGATCATGAAAGTAAAACATCTTGCATTTGTCCTCTGTGAGATATTACCTTGAACCCTTAAGGGCTATGCCTATACTCGCCTGAAAGAACAGGGTTCCAAAACTAATGTTACTAAAGTATTTTGTTACTGGGATTCCTTACCTTATTATAATTCAACTTTGGCTTTCAAGCTCATTTGAAGGCCAGATTATTCAAGGACATATCTGACCATAGAATTTCATACACTATTCAATTTGTCATTTAATGAAAAAACATAACCTTAACATGATATTGAAAATCAAGGTCAAATACTCATTTCCTCCATATCCATACTTTTATGATAAATTAGTAGCAAGGTTAATTTAGACCTTGACAGAAGGGCAAAATTGTCTACAAATCTTGTTATTATTGAATGAGAATTACCAAAATGGTATTTTTACCTGCCATTGTAAACTCAGTAGACTTATACTTATGTACAGGGTGTCTCCTCTAGCCAGGTTTAGGCTCCTAAAAACTATGCCACTGACTTTCCAAATAACTTTACATGATTTAACACAAATTTGACAGTTTGATGGTGTCCATAGAAAACAATTAATTTTTTATATTGTCAGGAGGAACTAACCATAAGCAATATCATTAATTTTTTCTACACCCTGAATAATAATTGGTCATGATAGGATATTCTCAAAAATTCGGTAATCTACACAGCGCGGTTCATATTAGGACATTTTTACAGGAACTTGACCCACTACTTTTTATGTTCTAAGTGAATTTCAAGGTCTTGTCCACATTCTGGGACACCCTATATAAGTTGAGTAGTATCATATCTAATACCATACAGTCTCGCATTTCCCTGATAGTGTAATATTTCTGCTCGGCACACGCTGCGAGATATGACGCATGCAATGCATGAACCCCTCTTATTATTAGAAGTTACACTGCTGTGTAGTATTGGATATGCTTTGGTGAATTTAGTGTCGGCAAGAATTAAAATAAAATTTTCGACTTCAGAATTGTTTTTAAACCCTAATTGAATGACATCATTTAGGTATAAAGTCTTGCCAACTTCGCTTCAAGAAAAAATGTCCATCAGCTCAATGCACTCGAGAGCTCCGCATAGCAGCAATACGCGTTCAGACCAGTCTTCGATTGTTCTGGATAGCGACTATATTCAACCGACTGGCGAACCTGACCCCTTTATAGACTTTGAACTGATAGAAGATGATATGGCCTCAGATATCCGGGAACCAAGAGGCGCTCCACTAGTGCAAAATCCTGGAAGCGGTAATATTTTAAAGACATTTTAATAAACATAACACATTTCACCAGAAGATATCCAATTTGGGCATATTCAAGGACTATGGTAAAAGTAAAGTGGTACAGTTTGGGATTTTTTCCCTGGCTGTTTAGTGGTGGTATTGAGTTTGATCTTGAGCATGACCTTGAGGGTCAAATCAAGGTCGACGGTTTCAATACTTTCAACCCCTGAAAGGAATATAACGGGAAATTTAACGTTTAGATGCGGCATTGGATGAAAATTACTTTGACCTTAAATGTCCCAGGCCAGGGTCATCTCTAAAAGTAATTTTTTCACTCTATCCGTTTCCTGGATCAAACATATAGGGCATCATACAAAGAAGTGTTTAGACCTTGATTTGACCACCAAGGTAAGATTTAAGATCACCCGGAAGTTTTTATTGTAGTTTCTAGAAACATCTCTGAAATTTTGTCAACCGATGTTTTTACGCTGACCTTGACAAGGACGTTTATCGTTGAAACAAATTTCACTCATGGTTACAACTGAACGTGAATTTTTCCGTTCCATTTCCGTGGTTGATAGTATTGAGTACCAATGAACAAAATTGACTTGATTGTCAAGGTCATGATAGAGCTCAGTTTAAAGATCACCAATGGATGGCCTGAGAAAAATTGAGGTTTTATCTTAAGAAAGATCCATGAACTCTTTAGAAACGAGGATTTTTACAATTTTCACATGTCTGAATTTCAAAGCTTTATCTATTTGAGATTGAAAATATAGAGTCATCAAAGAAAATTGATTTGACCTCCAAGGTGGTGGTGAAGAGCAGTTTCAAGGTCATCAGTGAATGGCCTGAGAAAAATTGTTTTATCTTCAGAAATATCGATGAACTCCTTTCAAATAAGGTTTTTTCTAGATGACCTTGACGAGGATGTTTAAGATCAAAATAATTTACACTCAGTCATATCTGAATTTTTCAGCTTTATCTGTTTGAGGTTAAACATATGGAGTATCATTAAAGAAAATTGATTTGACTTTCAAGGTCGTGGTAAAGCTCAGTTTCAAGGTTATCGGTGAATAAGTTGAGAAGGAAATGAGGATTTGTATTTGGAAAGATCCATTAACTCCTTTCAACCGATGGTTTTTTTATGATGACATTGACGAGGAAGTTTAAGGTCAACATAATTTTCACACGAGGTCATAACTGAACTTTTCAGCTCTATACATTTTTGGGGTCGAAAGTTTCGGATCATATTAAAAAAAATGGCTTGACCTTGATTTGCTCTTCAAGGTCAAAGTGAAGGCCACCACTGGATAGCTAGTAAAAAATATTATATCCCTACTGTTTTATTTATACTACCTTTAGTTTTCTCAAATACCTGCCATTCCGGGACTTGGATCACTATGTACAGGTATAGGTTTAGGGGTTAATTACGTGAAGTGATTTTTCTTAGGAAGCTTGATGCCGTGATCAGGAGTAAACAATTTTCTTCAAAAGGAAAATAAAGCTTGTTTTTATTACTTCTAAGGGAAACTTGGAGACGCTAGGGTATACGTGGTCTGTAAATTAAGTAATGAGATTCGTTTTTCCATCCAAATATAATTGCAATTGTATATTGTCACCCTCAAAATAACTTTTTTCTGAAGCCACACAGTGCTGGAGACGGTTCTTCAACTCTTCATAGCAGTGCTGGAACTCCGATACTGGTATAGCCTGGTCAGTTACAGCCGTTTGAGTATTTTCGAGTGTCCCTTGAGGTGATTTTTCAATTATTTCGAGGAGAGAAAAAAGTCACAAGGGCTCAAGTCGGGCAAATAAGGAGGCTGAGAAGAAACACGAATGTCTTTAATGTCCAAAAACTCGCTTATTGACATTTCTGTATGACAAGGAGCATTATCGTGCTGCAACAATCAGTTGTTCTTAATCTTATGAATAGTGGTGTGAGTCCAATTTAACTCTTTCCCGATCATTCTGACTGTCAACCGTCGATTTGAACACACAACATTCCGGATTCTGTCAGTTACAGCCGTTTGAGTGTTTTCGAGTATCCCAAAAAGAGCTCGCTTGAGTGATTTTTCAACTTTGGGAAGACAAAAAAGTCTCACTACTTAATTCACAGACCTGGTATAGCAATATGACGATCGCATTCGCAAGACCAGTCCTTTACAATGTTTAATTGTGCTCTGGTAATAATAAAGTTTATATTCTAGGATTGTTCCTTACACCTAAAGAGTTTTACATACGCCTTGATGACATGAACGTGTTAATTGTAGACGTTAGACAAACTAACGAATACGATCAAACTAGAATTCAGAAAAAGGCAGGAGGCATGATTAATATTCCACCCGAACTCATTCAACCAGGGTAAGTGAAGATCAGAGGTGAAAAATTGCATGACAAATTTCGAGGAAACTTAACCGATCTCCAAAATTCCACATATCATGTGCAAGCATCTTTCAGCATTCTGTAATTAGGTAAATTTTAATTTCAGCCTTTCCGCAAATACGCTAGGGCTTAAATTGCCACCAGTGACCCGTGTAATCTGGGATAACCGAGATAGCTTCGACTGCATTGTCATTTTGGATTATGACACAACCAAGTTTACCTATGGATTGTCGAAATTGCACTGCCTACGCATATTCATAACTGAGGTATGTTTTAGCATCAATTAACATATTCTGAGAATACGAAATCCTATCCGTAATTACGAGACAAGCTGGGGGGTGATCTTACCTTGGAACGTAGATGTGATTATGAATAAATAATCTTCTTCAAAATAATGTTTTCAGTCAATTGGGTATGTTTCCAAACTTAAACGACCATAATAAGTAATCAACTAGGAATTCGCTTGTCCTGCAGATTCCTGCTCATAGGCTGTCAAGAACAGAATTCAGCCTCACATCAAATGTGTATTAGGCTGTTCAGTAAATTGCCAAACACTTTTAAAATCTTGCCAGTGGCATTATTTAGACATAAACTTAAAGCTCGATTAAGACGCAAAGTGTACTATTATATATATACTCGTACATTTTGAACTGTAGCATATTATTTATGGTTTTTGTACTTTATTTACTTATTTATTCATTTATATATTTTTAACTTGGCCAATCGTCATTTTAATAGGTATTGTGTTGTATTTCTTTGCTCATTGTTTTTGCGGCTGTCTTATATTTCATATGTATGTTTTTGGTTTTATCTATCTATTTTTGGAATGCTTTTGGTACTTTTCAAGATAGAGTACCTTCACCATTGATGGTTTCATGATAAGTGATCTACAGAACCAATAAAGATTATTATTATTAATGAAAACATTTTTACATTTTCATTGACGTTTCGGTTTATTTTAAACTAAATGGTCTGACTATATAAGCAAGTATGTAATGTTCATTAATGTTTTTGTAACTTTCTCATCTCGGTAATTGCAGTATTAATTTTGATTATTTTGTGCGTACTGTTTTATACTCAGAGATAAAAAGATAATAGAACAGCCAGGAAAAATGATTGTATTGAATGAAATTTTGTATACAGTTAGACATGGCAAAGGGGAGATGTCGGTTTACAATAAGCAGCCGCTAAGGCAGAAGCCTAAATGCCATGATGAGCTTAAAGAAACTTTGTTAATCCGATTTTTGAACTGCCTAAGGTTAGTAGGACTGGGAAAAGCATCTTTTCATGTGGATTGTTCCACAATTTCGATACCCTAGGGACAAAGAATCGGTCGTATCGGTCAGTTCAGTATGTACGAAGCTCGATACGGTTAGGATTTGAGGCGGGTCGGTCTGGCAGGCACAGCGCTCGGCGGCATCATGGAGGAGAGCTCTGAGGAGCAAATCCCTCCTCTGAATAGCGATAAGCATGGATAGTGCAGTCGGGGCTGCAGCACCCATAACATGTGAGCAGTACTCGAGGCTAGGTCTTGTCTGGGCCTTGTACAGGGTGAGCAGGTCTTGTGGAGAAAACTACTTATTAGCTCTAAACAAATAGTCTAGCTTTTCCTCAACAGTTGCCGCTATTAACGAGATGTGTTCGTGTCAGATCAAGTCCTCAGTGCTCTGAACTCTGACCATCCGAATTGAACGGCATTTTTGGCAGAACTGAACTGATGAATATTAGCAAGTGCAAGACTTGTTCTTTTACCAGAAAAACAAACCCAATAGCTTTTGATTACACACTGGAAGGTGTCAGTTTGATGCGTTGTTTAGAAGTGAGAGATCTAGGCGTGTTGTTTGATGCTAAATTAGAATTTGCAGATCATATTAATACAATAGTATCATCCGCTATGAAGTCTCTTCTTTTTTATAAGAAACTGTAAATCATTTGGTAGTGTGACGGCACCTAAGGCTTTATACTGTACCTTTTGCGTTCTAAGCTAGAATATGCATCAATTGCATGGCATCCGTATTACCAAATCTATACTAGTGAAATTGAAGGTACAGAGGAGATTTATTAAATACTTGATTTTCCAATCAGATGGTGTTTATCCCAATCGCTGGTCAGATTTGAAATGCATCCTCTTGAGCTGAGAAGAATTTGTAGTAGTTTAAAATATGTAAGAGGAACAGTGTCGGAGCCAAGACCGATCCCTGGGGAACACCCGCGTTGACTTTTGGGATGAAGAGGAGAACCCGTCAATTACTACGGATATGTTTCTGTCACCATAGAGTTTACTCCACAGTTGCGTGACGTAAGCTAGGAGGTCCCCTGTGGATCGCTGGTGCCGGAAACGATATTGGCTATCGCTGATCAAGCCGTGACCTTCGAGGTACTCCAGAAGCTCCCGATTTATGTACCTCTCCATCACCTTATAACAGAAAGCAAAGCTACATGCATGTAGTTATAATGATCGGTCTTAGATCTTTTTCTGGAATAGGTTGGGCATGAGCAAATTTCCAGTTTTCTGGGAATGGTATCACACTTTGAACCGAAAAAATTTTGCTATTTTGCTGGATTTCCAATAATGTATGCTTCTGATGAGGTGATTTACGTCTTCTGGAGGTATACAAGAAGTTACTTTACTTTCCATCACATCCCAACATGTTCAATGGACGAAAGGTCTCGAGATCTAGGATATCAAAGAAGCAGGCAGAAAGATATTGAGGTTAAAGTTTGGGGTGCCATTAAGTATGATGTCAAGTCACTTCTAGCTTCCATTAGATGAACTATGACGGTATATTCAAATAATACTAGAATCCCATTTTTTGCTATTCTTCCAAACACTTGAAAACCCTGTTTTGCAACAAGATAATGGCCATCCTCATATTGCTATAACTACAATGGTCTACCTCAGTAATGGTCAAATTCACCTCTTTCCTTGGCCTCCTAGATCCAATTGTACATGTGTAGGGTGATGGGAAGAAGAGCTAGTGTATACTACATCTAGGTGGTCCTGGCCCAACACATTAGCGAAATCTGACGATACCGTATATGTGTTCTATTTTCTTCGTCATTGAGTATTGTGAAATTGTGAATTTGTTTGAAAAAACCTAGAATTCTAATTTAACTTTTTGTTTGCAGTGGGACTTCAACAGAAGCTACCGGGAGCTCCCATTTATCCTAGATGGCGGTTTAAAAGAGTTCGTTCAATGTTATCCTTCAGAAGTAGAGAATTCTGGTTGTTTGTTCGCTAAGCAAAACTCGGAGATCGATGATTTGTTGGATATAGACTCAGTGGAATATCCTGGTGCAGCCTCAGGAGGAGGTCATAGAAACCTCATGGTTGATTCGGCATATTCTATGAGCAACATAGCAAAACGTGTAGAGAGGGACTTCCCCCCAAAAGATGAAGACGATGAAGTAGCGCTTAAATTGCGTAATATACGTTCAGAAGGGGCATTGCCGAAAAATTCGTACTTTGCCAAGGAGCCAGGTGTATCTAGTGGGCCTTATACCAGCATTTCCGAGCATCGAATTCCAATGGAATACAACAAAGGAAACATTAACCCTGAAGCTTCGACGGACTTCATGAAGCCGCAAGATATGTCGGTTGATGTTTGCCAGGTAATTTATTCATTTATTATTGCTTAAAGAAATAATGCTCGCCCTTACCAGTAGGGTTAACAGTTGTCGGATTTAAGCAGCCTCTGGCGCGATTAGTATTGTGATGGGTAACCATGTTGGAAAATTGTTGATTTTTTGGTTTTTCAGTTTTTTATTAAGATGGACGTTTCAAATATAAATTCTCACTGTAGATTGTCACTTAGTAGCTATGAGATTTAGACGTTTTCTATTAATCTGAAGATACGCTTTTGTTTTATTTTGTTTTCACCAGTTCCCAAAATTTTTAATAAATAATACATAGCTCTCATCGGGATTACCACATGTTCTCCGTTCAGGAAAATAGTCTTTCTTTAACCGTTCTGTCTCTATTTTCCCCAAATGTTCTCCTACAATGATAGTTTGTTTGCTTTCATAGTGAAATTTCGGTGTATTTACGTTTTCTGTTTATTTAATAAGAGATACTGTGCTATTAGTCCATTCCAGTTTTCTATACTTAAAATAATATTAAATTTTGCTAAGCAGTGTATTACGGGCGACCAAAAGAATTTCATTATCAACAGTTTATTTGTGTACTTGATGGTATTTTCGTGTTGGGTTTTTTTGCATTGATAAAGAAATACCTGCGACAAAATTAGAGCGACTCGTTTTGTATTTAGTTTCGCTAAAGTGTAGTTGGTGAAGTCTTGGATTGAAACAACAGAGAAAATTATTAGCAATGCATAGGGGAAAACATTATTCCGTAGATTTAAAAGGAAAAATGTTTGAAGCTTATAAATCAGATTGCAAAAATTAATAAAAGAGCAATTTCATGTAAATAAACAAATGGTTGCAAGAACAATACAACATTTTGGCTGTTAACCTTAAGAGAGGTAGTCGGAAGAGAAAAACTTCAATACAGTTGGTTAGGAGATTTAAGCATTTAAGTCAGAAGGCTATCTGCAAATCAAATTTTGGCTCAGTTGGATGTTCCGGGAGTTTCATCTAAGACTGTTCAGCGGCGATTAGTGCAGGCGGGGCTCCCTGGAAGGAGACCAGCTAGAAAACTCCATTTATAAAAAAAATGTGATTGCTAGGATGATATTTGCAGCACGTCAATGCCACTGGACAGCTAAGGACTGGAGCAAGGTTTTGTTTAGTGACGAGTCTAAGTTTGATATTTTTGGAAGTGACGGAGTGCAGTTCGAACATCGTCCAGCAAATAAAAGACTTGAAAATTGAGGGCACCATGGACGCCGAATGAGAAATGCCGCTAAAGTTTACGTTCCAACATGATAATGACCCCAAACATACTGCCAAACTTGTAAAGGAATGGCTTATGGCAAATGAAATTCAAGTTTTAAAATGGCCACTGCAATCACCAGACTTGAACCCCACTGAAAATCTTTGGGAGATAATTGAGAAACAGATTCGAACCAAAATTATCAGCTATCGTTATTTAAAGAGATTGAAAATGCTTAGCAACCAATGGATCCAGCTGTAATTTCCAATCTCATTGGGTCGATGCCAAATAGATGTCAAAAAGTCATTGAGAACAAAGGGTACTGGATGAAGTATTAGTTTAGTTTGATTAATATAGGATACAAATGTATTTCAAGGATAAGTCTTTCTAATTTTGTCGCTTATAGTTTTTTATATTTTTTTATTTTCTCTAATAAATCTTTGGAAACAACGTTTATGAATTTATTTTAGTATCATTTGAAACTACTTAATGACATAAATCTTTTAGCTCAATTACAAAAATTCAATATATTTTGCATTCCATAAAAGTCAGAATTAATTTTGTCCGATACTAAGATGTTGATTTTCTTCATTTTAGACATTTTCCGCTACAAAAGAATGTTAGTACTGCTGCACAATGATATCCCCGCTAATTGTGAATACAGATTCTTCATTCATGATGAAGCAAACCAGTCTACTAACCGGATCAGACTTTTAATCATTTCGGGGTATATCTGGCATCGCTGAAATTTTAAGCGACAACGGCGATTAACTTGCATTTGAACTACTGATAGAGACTGGCAACCAGTTATGTCTGGCTAAGCAGCTTCTGGCGCGGTTAGTAGATGGATGGATAGCTGCTTCGATACGCTCGAGAACTACACGCCACTAGTCCCAACCGGTTGCTGCCATTCACTATCCTCAGTGATCGATTCTTGTGGTAGATGGCGCTTCGCGCTGTCTTATATCGATAGATCGCACACATAGTTGCTAAGCTTTCGTTCGTTGTCCGTGAGACCAAGCCGTAACAGTTCGAAATTTTCAGCGAATACTTTTTCTCCATGGAAGTCGCGGCGCCGCTTGTTTAGGCTTACTGTTCGGGATTTCATCTTATTTTCAGTAAATATTCTGATAATCTAGTTACCTCAGCATTTTCCCCAACAAGATGTACAATTTGGCAATAATACACATTATTCGTTATATCTGTTAGGAAATGAACATTTGTAAACTTTCCAAACAATACTCATAAACGCTAAAACTTTAATTTTATTGGAAAATAATGGACTTGTCAAGGATTTTCAAGGAAACGTATTGAAAAAATAACACAACACCTATATAGCTTACCAATTAAAAAAACATCACTTACGGTATGTTTACTCACTGACATTAGAAGTCTTACACCCAGAAAAAATAATTTCTTTAACCTTTGTTAAAATGTTATCTCTTAGTTTTTGTGAAGAAAGCAGTTTCTGAGACCTAAGTAGTATAGGTATTTTCAGTTATTGCCCTTTCATTTACTAGTATTAAGCATAACAAAATGCCTCGAGTTCGAAGACGTTCAAATTATCAACATGTTAGCGACTTTGACAGGAGTAGAATTATTGCCTATCGAGATGTTGGTTTGTCTTATCGCCAAATTGGCCGCCGTGTTAATTGTACTGCAATGCCGGTAATGCGTGTGTGGATAGAAGAAGGTAGAGGAACACGAAGATGGCCAACGCCATTCTGTCTAGGTACGCACGATGGTCGTAGAAAGGTAAGACGCCACCGTGGGTAACGGCGTGATATTGGATTTGTTGGTAAGAGGCATGTACACAGGACTGTTGGAATACATGTTTGGGGGACTATTGCCTATTGTAGCCGATGGCACCTTCTCTTTGTTCAAGACAATATGAGTGCTGCGCGTTATGTTGATGATACCCTACAAACCACTTTACTGCCGTATCTAGAGGGCCGTCCACACGTCCTTTTTCAGCAAGACAACGCACGTCCCCATATTGCTCGTCGTACTACGGACTTGCTTCAAGAAGCATGTTTTGCCGTGGCCACCCCGTTCACCAGAGTCAAATCCCATCGAACATGTGTGGGATATGACAGGGAGGAGACTATCCGCTTTGCACCATCCGCCATAGACTCTGCCACAGCTAAAGCACGAAGTTCGAGTTGCATGGAATGAGGTGCCACAACCAGACATCGATCATCTCATTTTGTCGATGTATAGACGTATCTATATACGTGTATTCAGCTGCGGGGTCGCCCAAAACATTATTAATTTTTCTTCTTATTACTTGTCAATAAAATTTCGGGAGAATGTTATTGTTTCATTGCCAAACATCAAGTTGACGAAATTATTTTTTTCTGGGTGTAACACTTCTAATGTCACCGAACCTATTTTCATAGATGCATTTTGCTCAGAGGATGACCATTTCTAACGACTTCTTCTATTCCTTTAGGCGCTAAGGTGTAGTCTTACCTTTATTTGGGGTTAATTAAAACCTTTTTGGTATCTGATTACGTCTTAACCGCCCGAAATTAGCCAGTGTTGAACAACAATTTCAACTCTTATACAATATCAGAGCGCGATTGCCGCATAAAATAATCTGAATATGGTTTAATATTATGTGGTTTGATTCTCTGGCAGTCTTGTACGGTATCCGTCATCGCGAAGTATAATGGAGGCCTTACTTTCAATAATGTTCATCGAATGTATCTGCAGATGGGTCAAGGGCGGAACAATTTGCCCATCTCTAGAAAAATATCCTTTATTTTGTTTTTTTTTGTCTTTAGGCACTCCGAAAGCTGATGGAAGGTGACAGAGAGTTGCTGATGCTAAAAGCCCGCGCATCAAAACCAACTTATCTTCTAGAGCAATGGAATGAGGGTAACCAAGACTACTCAAGGTCACCTGAAAGACGGAGAAATAATTCTCCAGAGCCGATGGACAATTCTGTGGCAACCTATGTCTCTCCACCTCCTTCCTTTGACAGGTGTTTTAAACCTGCTAAAGTCAAAGAACCAGAAAAAGACGTAAGTTTTTATATTTGAACTTACATTGATGAACATATTACACAAGAAGATGCCCAATTCAGATGAAAGCGGCGCTAAACAATTTATCCTTACAACTTACAACTAACTATACTGCCATACTTAGGTAAACGATAGTAAAGTTCATTTACTGCCTTTTTTAAATTTGACGCCAATACATTCCTTTTATGATTACAATAACAAATATATAATTGACAATGGAATAGTTATTTTCTCACTTTACCAAACATTTCATAATTACATTCCCTAAAAAAAGCAGTAGTTTTCAAACTATACTACTTTGATTCTCTATATGATACAGGTACTTATACTTTTTACCCTTTCACAACCTATTATGATGTTTACTTATTTAGTTTCTTATGCAATAATTCTATTATTTGTGAATAAGTATTTATCTTACTTTCGCTCCGAAAGAATAGTTTTGCAAAATATACATTTAAATTAACATATCAGAAAAGATGCTGCTAGATGCTAGTTTATTTATACAATTATTTTCACTGGATGTAAATTATTAAATCTACAGAGTGAACATAGTGATGTCATAATGCTGGCATTTTTAGTGCGCTACTGACGTACGCCGACCAACAAAAATGACGTAGAGATGACTTCATTATGACGGTCTAATGTCACACCCAATTGACGTCATTATATGTCGTTTAAAAGACCAAATACAAAGTCGATATGGCGTCTGTATGTCGTGGATATGACATCTATCTGAGGTCGATATGACGTCTATGTGACTGCGCTTGATTGCAAGTATTTTAGTAAAACTTGTTTATTATTATACAGAGGTGTTTCCAATAAATTTGTTATTTACGGGAATAAAATATGATGTAAGACGGCAATTTGAAATATCTGAACATGTAATATTATTATTAGAAAAGTCACATTAATACGATATTTTTGGTCCAAGAATTCCTGATAATTTTTATAAATAACAATAAAGTAGTTATTAGTATTTGGATATCTAGTTTACCTTACACTAAAATCCTATATATTCTTCATAGGTAAGTGTTGATTTTTCCGTATTGACTGTCATAAAAAAGACGTCACAATGACTTTTAAAGGACGTAAAAATGGTGTCAATAAAGACGTAATTTTTTAGTCAATGACGTTCCCGACCAAAAGTGACCGAATAATGACGTTATTTTGGCGTCATCATGTTCGATGGGTAATCATATAATTTTTCAATTGAATTATTTGATGTTGGAAAGGTTTGTGCTATTTATATGAAATTCGATATGAATAAATTATAAGGAAATAGAATAAGATTCTGTATTACTGCGTATTTCCTTTGAGAGAATAATATAAATAGATTATGAAAACTACGAAAAAAGGCAGTAAATTTGTTTTTGCAGAGTAAAATGCAATAAATCACAAATTACTGCTTTTTGATTTACAACTGTAAAAGACGGAATTTCATTTATTTTAGACCTCAACAACAGTTATAATCCGAAATCACATTTAAATGCCTCTCTCATGTAACTGCAATATTCATCCACTTTTGTTCTGTCGTCATAATACTATTTATTTAGTTCGACAAAATCCAGAATTATGAACTCAGTTTACTCAGACTCAGGTTTTTAAACTTAACTTTCTCTACCTACGGCAGCATACATCAGCGTAGTCACTTATGAAATTTCTTTTTTCGTCGTTCTGAGAATCTGAAATCTCATGAATCTACTTCTAATGACTAAGACCTGCATAGCTGTGACGATGAGAGTTGTATGCTAACCTCAAAACACAGCATAGGGTTATGCATTTTCTTCGAGAATGCGTTGATATTATCGATACAATAATCTCCATTTTTCATTTTATTTTAGGTGAAGGGGCGAGGCTTCACGGGAATCCGAAATTACAAGAATTGCTGTTTTATGAGCGCGATCTTACAATGTATGAAAACATTGCCGTTCATAAAAGAGTACTTTGTGAATACAAACAGGCACTTAACCCTGAATCGAAGAGTACCTCCGGTATTCAATATATTGATGGGTGAGGTAAGATTTTCTTAGGCAAAACCTAAATACCAAAGTGCTGCACTTGTTATAGCAAGGTTCGACAGAATTTTGAACTAAGTAAAATCGATAGAACCTTAAAAAGTTCTCAGTCATTTCGGTAAGGGATAGCTGACCCGTCGTTGTGAAAGAGGCTCGTAGTACTTTCATAAATTTGCACTATGCCGTATTCAAGTATCAGAAACTTAGGTCTATTTTTCTTTCTACAGGTGTTTGATAAGCTGTGGGAGGGTACTGAGGATGATCCAAAAATCTACTATCCCCAATTTATAAGGGATAAACTCAGCCGCGTGAACCCAATGTATGAAAAAGGGTGGCATGAAGATGCGTTCGAGTTCTTCACATTTTTCTTCGGCCAACTCAGCGAGGATTGCATGGTCGAAATGCCCAGACCGGAGGTTGGTATAGTACTAGATTAAATTTTGTTAGTCGTTCCATCTGTATCCTGCTGATGAGTCGCTATAATGATAAAACCCTGCCGTATATAGTTGGTTGGAGCGAGAAAAGCAGTGTTCACGATTAGGCCGCGATTAAACTCCTAGGTGTAAGACGTCAGATGTATACTTTTCACGGTGTGTGGTGTCAGTGTTACCAGGTCGATCGATTTTTCTGTAGATCTACCGATCTTAGTCCTAGTCTACTGATTTTAATGCGAAATCTACCGAAAAACCTCTTAAATGCTATCTTCCCTCCTCAACCTTTCACTATTTGATGATGATGAGAGGGCTCTCTTCCATTTTCAAAAACACGTGGAGCTCAAGCAATACGCCATCTTTCTCCGGCAAGATTTTGCTTTTTATTGTTTACCGAAAAAAATCCTCGTTTCAATTAATTTTGGAAATAATCTGAAATAAAAAAAAATAGGTGGGGGGGGGGGTTGTAGGCCTGGTGGGGGAGGGTATATATCACTTTTTTGATTTTAGTTTAAATATATTTATGAGGACGGTTCAATAAGTACCCGTGTTAGAAATGAACACCATTTTTTCCAATATTTTTTTTTATTTTTATAGTCGCCTTTTAGAAAGATACAATTTTCCCAATGTCCCTGCCATTTTTCAACTCCTCCAAAAAATAGGATTTGTCGAATTCTCTAAAATACGCCTCTGTCTCGGCGATGACTTCGTCGTTTGAGCTAATTTTTTCCCCGCGAGCCATTTTTTCACGTTAGGGAACAAGAAAAAGTCGCAGGGAGCCAGATAGGGTGAATACGGGGGGATTGCGGCAGCACTTTATAACGCAATTCATGCAGTTTGGCGACGACAACTTCGGATGAATGTCCTCTTGCGTTATCGTAGTGAATCAGCACCTTCTTTTTCGCCAAAAGCGGCCGTTTTCAATCGAAGCGATCCAATAACCCTCTATAGTATTGTCCAGTGATCGTTCTTCCTTATAAAAAAAATACATGAAGATGACGCCGTTCGCATCCCAAAAAATATTCTCCATGACCTTTCCGGCCGTTGGGAAAGTCTGCGCCGTCTTTGGAGCAGATTCACCGGGAGAAATCCATTGTTTTAATTGTTAGTTAGCTTCTGGTGTGTAATGACGAATCCAGGTTTCATCAACGGTGACAACTCGACGCAAAAAATCCTTCGGATTTCGCTTAAATTGCTCCAAACACTGCTTCGAAGTTAACAGCCGCATCCGCTTGTTGTCCACCGTGAGCAATCGCGGCACCCATCGGGCCGACAATTTTTTCATCTCCAACTTATCATATTTATTGCCGTTCCAGTCGACACACCTACGGCATCTGCTACTTCGGGCCTTTTCGTTCGTCGATTGGATAATGTCGTGGACATTTTGAGTGATTTCCTCGGTAAGCATGTCTGCCGGGCGACCTGGTCACTCCTTTTCAAAAACGGATGTTCGCCCATGTTTAAATTCGTTGAACCAATATCTAACTGTGGTCATAGATGGCAAAGTGTCCCCATAAACAGAATCCAACTTTGATTTTATCTCCTTTTTTTCCCATCCAAAAACAAAAAGCAAATTACCGCAGGATGCTGCTCTTTTTCCATCTTGGCGAAAATCACGAAACACGTGTTACTCGAATGGCCGCCAAATCCAAACCAACGTATCAATCAGTCTGAAACATGTTGTGCCGTCGTTTGTTAGATGGCAGCACACGATGACGCCCGCTGCCGTCAAACACGGGTACTTATTGAACAAGCCTCTTATACGCTCCCAACCCCGGTAACCCTACGCTCCTATCACATATCATAGGTTGTCTTTAAAGAGAAATATTTTCTATACGAGTCTCCTTCTGCGATCTGGGCTCTGCGCCCGACGTGACGGTCTGGTTGATTATTCTGCTCGTACTGCGGTGTCTGACGATATGGGAACCAGGGATTTTTCAATTGTACATGTTTGTAACTAAGTTTTTTTTTGAGTTAACCTACGTGACGCCATTTTTTCTGCAGATAATTCTGCTTCTCTGCTCAAGACGATCCATTTCTGTAGAAATTCTTGTCCCTCATGTATCAAAAAGCACATAATTTCATACCAGTTTGACATATGAACTTAGTATTTTGTTAAAATGGAGTACCGAGATCATTTGTAATGAGGATAGCCAGAACACATGGATCAACCTTCATATGTGGTTGTCATTTGCAGAAGCTTAGTAACATTGAAACCACAGGTTTTTAATTCTTCGATGAAATAACGATACTTTTCATTTAGGTTATGACGGATAGTGAACAAGCTTGGTATAGTGCTCTACAAGGGCGATCGAGCTTTTTGGTGGATAGAACGTACCATCAATTTAGGAATGAGAAAACTTGCACTCATTGCAAAAAGAAGATCTGTTCATTCGAAACAGAGGGTATCCTAAATCTTGCCATGCGGCAGAATTTAGAACCCTGTGAATTAGAAGGTTTGATCAACGATTATCTGGCCGAAACCACTGAAAAAGACTATCAGTGCGAGATATGCAAGAACATTGGTGCAGTCGTGAACAAGAGATCTGTCGTCGTAGATCCAGACACGTTGATTATATGTCTGAAAAGGTAAGGATTATACTGCGAATTTTTAAAAGTGTCTAGTCGTTTTATCTTTAGTTCCTCCTATTGAATATATGAACATCCCAAAAATTTGAGAACCAGGCATTATTTCGAAAAAAGAGTCTAGCAAAAGTTTTATGAGATTAAAAAAGGATTATATCAGTGACCTCTAATATGACCTAAATAATAGGAGGTTAACTTCTCAAATTCAAGTAGCAACCACCCTGGAAAAAATAAGACTAGTAGCGATTTCCTCTCTGACCATAGACCTAGAGGTTATCACTGCTTTGGGGCGCAACAGTCTTGTACAGTTTGATGCTTCCAAAACACAGTACTGTACCTTGACGAACAAAAACGTGCTAGCGTTCATCCGGTTTCGATGGATGGCCGAGTTCTGCCAAAGAACCGTTCATTTCTCGCAGAGTCGTCCGACTGATCAATTACTGATCTTCAACAGTCTCCGGGCCCTTTGGCACCGGCGGGCCGACGGCGATCTAGCTCTGTTCTACCGCTACACCAACTATCTTTGCTCTCCTCCATGATGCATGCCAAACAGACCTGCCTGACTTCGGCCTCCCATCCCATGTCGAACTTCGTACATCCAGAACTGACCTATACGAGCGCTCCTTTGTACGCAGGGTGTCGAGATTGTGGAGCAATCTATAAGAGGAGGCTTTTCCAGTTCTTCTAACCGTAGGCAGCTCAAAAATTGGATTAACCGTTTCTTTGGGATCCTCATAGCACCCGCGTTGTCCTGGCATTTAGGCGTCTGCCTGCGCGGTGTCAAAAAAGAAACCGTTATGCCAAGCTGTAACGTCTGCAAAGTACACAAACGCTGTAGTGCCACACATTTTTTTTTCGAAAAAATATTTTCGCAACAGTTTCAGGAGACCAAAAAAGCAATATACCGATGACCTCAGATGTCGTTTAGCATTCAACCTCGTAAACTTGGATATCATCTACCATTTTTGGTGTTCATATTCGTCACGCAATCAAAAGTGGTCAATTCGGCAGGCCTGAAAAGATTACAAATGCACCGTAAACTAGTCTAAAGCGCATTTTTAAAGGGTCTGCGCTAAAGCTTCAGGAAGTCAAAAAAAGGGATGTGACTTAGACCTCAAAAGTAATTTGGAAGCCAAGTTTGTGAATTCAAATAGCTGCAATCTTTGGTGGCTAATTGAACTGCTGATTTGTCCACTTGTGCTGATCACGAATCTGTTGTCAAAACTAGTGGTGATTGCTTAAATTTACGAAGCTGACCTCCAAATGACCTCCGAGGTCATTGTCTAGCTCATACTAGAGGTTATTCGATCTTCTAAATCTCTTATAGGAGCCTTGTTCATACAGTTTTCAGATGTTCCAGCTTGTCTGTATATGTAGAATCTCGTACTGATCGTGAATCGTTTGTCAAAAATGGTGGCTGCTATTTGAATTTGCTAAGTTGACCTCTAAATAACCTCTAAGGTTATTATCTAGGTCAATCTAAAAGTCGCCAATAAATTCCTCTTTTGTCTTTCGAATCTTTTGTAGGAGCCCCTTTTGCGTACTTGCTAAGTTTTCAAGGGGTTCGGATATTTAATAGACAGAACACAACAAAATAATTGTATCTCACAGAATAATCATCACTCATCAGATATAGCTCAGAGCTGTCTCTAGGCGAATATTTTAATGAAAAAATAGTGACCAAAAATCAATGTTTCAAGCTATGATATAGTCTATGCAAGTGACAAAATATTTTTAAGTAGCATTTTTTATTGATACAATGTGCATTTAGTCTATCACAATTTATATCACAAAATGCCTTCACTGAAATACAGATATTGTTACAGAATCCTAATTTATGAAGATGGAGTAATGAAGCATCCTGGTCTTGTCAGTTTTCCGGACAAGCTACAATTTGGAACCTCGGTGTATAAACTCTACGCTCTTGTCCAGCATAGTGGAACTCTATCTCAAGGCCATTACATTGCCACTGTTTTACTTGACGATGTAAGGTAAGATCAAAAAAACCACAGCATGTGGTACTACCACAGCTCCTAAAATTACGTTGAATTTCTGTGACATTATATGCGACGTTGGAGCCTTCTCTGTGACCTTTATAGTACGGCTAGATTACAGCAGGGTGGCCTTTGCCAGACAACCCTCCTTTAATCTGTTCTACTATAAAGTATTGTTCTTAAAAATTAAGTTAGAAAGAATTCCCCGCTCTTTGAACAAAACCTCCTACCCCTTTCCATTACGTAACTGTGATTTGAGGGATTTTTACTTTTGAAAAAGTTGTAATTCTGGGGGATTTTTGTGCTTGTTCTGGGGAAATTCTGTCGGACCCATCTGGCAACGCTGTGCTTTAACAAATGGTTCGGAAACATGGTGTTGTTAAGTTCTTTAAGGAACATTTTAAGGTATGGATTTTATAGACCCTGTTCCCTGCGAACTTGGCCATAAGACAGACCGATTTCCATTGGCGTCGTTCAGGGTCATGTATCTCCGAAATCATCAAGGGACAGAGCAGTTTTAGGGCCCTATCTTCAGTCGTTCCTACAATTGTAGGATGCTTTTATGGCCTCCTTGACGGTCATAGTCTTTTCTCTTTTTCAGATTTCTACTGTTCCATGTCAGCTATTGTGAAGGTGTTTTTCTTCTTGAATCTTAAGAAATTTCAGATTTATAAAACAGATGATGAAAACTACGAAAGTCAAGGAGGCCATCAAGGCGTCCTACAATATTGTAAGAACGATGGACGATTCGGCCCTTAGAGTAGTCTTAAGAATCACTTCTTGAATTTTTGTCCCGTGTTTAAAAAACTAGGGAAGTACCGAGGCAATCAACTTATCGTCGTTTTTCACTTGTTTCAGAGACGACTGGATCGAGTTCAATGATGACGTTATGACTCGCATCAATACTAGGCCGTTGAAAGACGCTCCTGGAATAAGATCGAGTGTAGCTGGGTTCTTCTACGTTCGTCAAGATGCTGCAGAACCTAATGTGGTATAGTCTGATAAAGAAATGTGATACTAGAATTACTAAACAACATATATACAACATTCCTGGATAAGACGCAGTATTTTTCTAGTAATTTTATCATATACCAAGTTCCTTTGAAGTGCCTATACACGTAATTTTTCTATTTAGGAAATTTGAATATCGAGCTCTATTGTCTATTTTCGCGGCGTAAATGAGGTTAGAGTTTGCTTCTTGTCACATCATACAAATAGCGTTTTCGCGCTAAGCAACTGGAAAGGGCAAATATATTTGCAGGAAGTTATTTATGCTGCTTCATAATACACAGTGGGTAGATCGATATATTTGTATTGAATCTATCCTCTGACCTTTATGTAGCTTGTAAATATTTTTGTCAGAATATCCATATAATATTCATGCATGTTTTTGTGGATATAGAATATCAATTTTAAGAACAAAATGATACATTATGCATGTCAGATGTGTTTTGACAAGAAGCTTTGTTTATATGATTTAAGAATTGTTGGGGTACATCACTTTTGGAAAATACATGTATAGAGTTGTCTTAAAATGTTCTCAGTAGATTTTTCGATCAGTCCTATGATTTCAAGATTCTATACAAATTATCTAAAAACAAAAGGCATAATCATTCTTGACATATCTTTCAGATCTTTCTCAACGAAGTAGGCGGTCTTTTTAATCTGAGGCCTCCTTGTTACCATAATGCATAATCATCTACTTCAAGGCTCCCTTATTCCATTATTTTCCTTATTCCATATCAAGCTTCAAAGGACCAGGGTGGGTTTTCGACCCTGAAAATGACTGAATTAAAATTGATTGCATCTATGAGATTTTCGAGTTTGAGTATTTTAGAACATACAGCAGTCAATTGGGGTGAGAATGATCATAAAAAAAGTGTTTCACTATAATTTGCTATCTACATAATATATAATGTTTTGTAAACAGATTGTTTCAATAGATGTTAGTGTTATTGACAAGTTTCAATAGTTAGAAAATGAAAACTAAAATAATAAAAAATAGGGAAAAAACTATGTGAACAATCTCAGACTAAAAGTGGGGAGTCATTGATCACATATAAATTTAACCTATATTATAAACAGGCAGGTTCATACAAGTTGATCTATCTGACCCCGAAATGTTTAGTTACGGTTTAAAAGTTATAAAAGATTTTTGTTTAAGGGGTGTGATTGTTCAGTGCGGGTGAGATTGATCAACGATAACTTGCGAGTTTAAAATCCAAATACATATTTTATTGTCAATTTAAAAAAAACATTTATTCTACCTGCTGAATTGCTAAAAACAGGTGTTTTATTCTATAATAAAAGGTTGTATGTTAAAATAAATAGGTGACTACATTAAAAAACAATTAAAAGTAAAGGATATCTACATTTCATAAACATCGATTTGCTTTTTAAATAAATAGGTTACGTTATCATTAGAGTTATTAACATTAGGCGTAGGTAGAATAGCTATAACGTCTTCTATCTCAACTACAAACCCATCGTCGGGCTGCGGAACGAATAATTTACGTGTCTTGTCACAAGATTTCATTCGTAATACTTCAAACTCCTGTTTATCTCCATCGGAATGTATTGCCTGAATCACTGCTGTGTAGCGATAAACCGTTTTTTTCTTGATCCTCCGAATACCTTCACAAGTATAAATTTTCCAACTGCAATATTTTCTAATCGCGGTTCTAAGTATTCAGTTTCTTCTTGCACATCCTCTTTGATGTCCTCAACAGCTTCGTCATCCGAATGGTCATTGGTTAGTGGTTCACCGACATCTGAATCACTCGAACCATCATTGCTGGCCGTTACACTTTTACCAGGCTCCACATTAAGCTTCTTGCGTTTAACATTTTTTCTTGTTGGAACTGAGGAGAATCGTTGTTCTTGTAAATAGTTTAGAAGGGATTCACTGACATCGGCAGTTGGATTTGGATGAACAACTGGAATTTTGCGCAAAACACGCTCTGGATCTAGTGGCATAATTCCAGCTGCTTGACATGAGGTCGTTTTTAATGGCATTAATGGATTTGATTTCCATTTCGGTGATAGTGGATGCAAGAAGTTGAGGGAAAGTCCTTATCAATTGATGTTTGCTGCCTATGTGTCATTTTCCAATTGGTCAATACACTCCTCCATGCATTCTTAAATGGGCGAAAAAAGCCTACATCCAAAGGCTGCGTCAGGTGAGTGGAATATTTAGGTAGGCAGACAAAATCAATGTCATTCTCTTCACATTGCGATATAACAGTCTCGGTAAAATGAGACGAAAGGTTGTCTCCTAGCAAAACTTTACGTCCTGGCAATCTCTTAGCATGCGGCAAAAAGCATGATTCAAACCATTCGGTGAATGTTTGGGCATCCATCCATCCATCCGGGATGTGTCCTATTGTAACGCGATCCGGCACTGCAGTATCTCTTATTACAACATGGTTCTCCTTTTGGTCCCATTTCAATCCACTGCTGCCAGAGCTTTCCGGCTTTGTAGACGATGTATGGGGGCAAAAGCACTCCAGATGTGGAGCCGCACATCATAACAGTTACGGCAGTTTTAGTAAAATTGCAAACACGTTCTGGGTACTTTGTGCCACGACGAAAAAGCAGTTTTTTTTACCAGGATCGTCCAATAATTCGTTTTGTCATAGTGGAATATATTAGACGCAGGAATATCTTTTAGTGTGTTGCTTAAATTTTCAAAATACTCAACTATAGTGTTTCGCGAAACATTTGCACGACATTGTTTTATGTTCGTTGCAACTTTTTGACTTATTTCATTTTTATGCCTATTCAGTAAACCATAAACCCAATCTTTACCTGGCATATTGTTCTTGAATTTTGTTTCTGACCGTCCTTTGCTATCTAAATAGTTTTTGGCTAGATTACGTACATCCAAAATGCCTAATGGAAACCTCCACATATACTGGCAGATTTAATAAAAGCTATTTCTTCATTTTTAGAAAAGACGGTTTGTCCACCTGTCTTTCTAGTACGCAAACCACAATATTTGTTTCTAAGGGTACCAAATGGGATTTTGTACTCAGTTGAAGCACGACGTAATGACCATTTATCTTCCGTGACCTTTTCTAGTGCTGCCTCCAATGCTTCTGGCTTATAATCCGCATATTTTCGAGCCCCCAATTTCTTTTGTATTGCCGTGGCATGATTTATGAACTGAAAAAAAACGACACTATAAGTATAATCGAGCAATTTTCAATAATATACGAAGAAATATCTTGATCAATCTCACCCCGCACTTGCGATCAATCTGACCCCATCGCATAAATTTAATTATAAACTACAAACGTGTTCTCCGAGAGTCGTGAATTACAGAACGTGACATCCTGAGACATGGTTAGATTATTTCATGCCGGCAAATAACTAAATATATTACCATAATTATACTTACCAGACAAAGTTCTGGAAGCTATAAATCCTGATTAAACACATAACAGATCTTAACTGCAGTTTTTTTACACAACACAACGCATTAACGACGCTGCAGGCACACATGCTATTCAACTATGTTTTTACAACGATAACCTAGCGGCAAAGGCCAAATCTAACCGGCGATTGGCGCGGTAAATTCGAATTTATAAAAGAATGATGATCAATCTCACCCCCAGTTATCAATCTCACCCCAAATGACAGCATTTTTTCTTCAATCTCAATAACGAAAAGGTATTTTTTTGTCACTAGATCTATTTCAAAGCTAACTTCCAAACAGTAATTTTTGATGGCGATAGTTCAAGCAAATTAGAAACAATAGAACAATAATAGGAATTATAGAATTCAAAGCACTCAAAAATAGACAAGTAAATAAGTTTTAACAAAATTCATTCACAGCTAGTACTCTGTCATCATAGGATTTGCATCATTTACGACCTGAAGACTTCCTGGAATATAATTTTTTGAGCTAATTCTGATCTAATCTGGTCCCATTTCTGCAGAACATCTTGTAGCTGTAGTTCCGCAGAAATTTCATTTTTTCGGGCCTTCAGGTCCAGCAAGAACCGAAAATGTTTAATGGGATTGATATTCGGGATTGTGCAAAAACAATGTAAAGTTACTATTCCTTTGTTTTAGTAACGGTGTGTTGAAACATAAATGTTTCCTTGATCCCCAATTTTCTCAGCGCTGCTGTGCATGTTTTGGGACAAAAGTTAACATTACTTGTCTGCATTCATAATGCCTTGATGAAGCTTAGATTTCCAACACCATTCCACGACATGTAGCCCCAGACTAACTAACTAACTAATCATCAATTTCCACTGTTGGACTGATATGTCTCATTTTCAAATTGAGTGTTAGGTTTTATCCATACATTTTTGCCGCCATCAGACCTTACATCTTGATCTTACTTTAATCTTCAAGGTTTCGGATCTTATGGTCACAAATATGTTTGAAGAAAACTTAAAATACTCAATTTGAAATGAGGCATATCAGTCCAACAATGCAGCATGGAGGGACAGCGTTTTAGTCTGGGTCTGTATGCTGTGGAATGGTGTTGGAAAGCTAGGTTCATCGAAAGTACTATGAATGCAAACAATTCTATTATTTTGCATGATAACATGCTGAGCAGCACTGGAAAATGGAGATCAGGGGAACATTTATCATTCAACAGGATAATGATCTTAAACACAAACAAATTCACTTCACAATATCCCTGCCCAACTCAAAATCTCCAAATACTAATCCCATTGAACATTTGTGCTACTTGCTGGACCTGAAGGCGTGAAAAAGTAAAATTTCTGTCAAACGACAGCTACAAGATGTTATATGCAGGAATGGGACCAAATTGGACCAGAATTTCCATGCCATGACTGCTTCAGACTATAAGTGATGCTAATGGTATGATAACAAAGTAACTGTAAACAGATTTTGTTATCACTTATTTACTTGTTTTTTGTCAATATTTTTTTACCTTTGAAATTCGTATTTCCTATTATTATTCTTACATTAGTTTTAATTTGCCCATCAAAACGAAAAATGTTGATCAAATTTAAAAATACATATCTTATAAGATGTTTGAAAAAATTTAACTTAAGTTATTTCCAGATCCGAAAATCCCGCTTTTCCATCCTGATCCCTTACAATCGACCCTGTTTGTCAAAATCAGAAATTTCGGTTATCCTATTGATTTCTTACCATATTGAGTAGGTCCATACGTTTATTGTTTCTCGTGTAAAGTAGTAAAATAAGAAAGCCTTGAAATTATTGTATATAGATCTAAACAGAATGCTTAACAACTCTTCTGTCTGTCCCAAATGTCAAGCCTTAGTGAAGAACACCTACTGATTCGTCCCCAAAATGTATTCCCGAGATACACAGACAAACTCTTATTGTATTATAAAGATATTGTGCAATAACTTATATTACCCAAGGTCTTTAAGTCCTTGTTTATAAGATTGACTGGTTCAATTGGTGCTCTGCAAAAATTTCATTTCAGTTCAAGCCAGCCTTTTTCCTGTGCCCCAACATTCATGTTTATGTTTTATGTTACTTATCGTTGTTGTTGCAACATTCATGTTTATTTTTTGTTACTTATCGTTGTTGTTGAGTCATATTTTATACTAGGCTCTCCTGCACTATTTGAAAAAGACAGAAGGCTTAGCAACAATGGATATTTTCCAACCTTACCATATCCTTCGTTAATGTTGCTCAAAATTCCAATACAAAATCCATAGACAATTTTTTTTCATATCACCAGGTTCTTTGGTCGGATCAAGAAACTCATGAGATCCTTTGCATTAAATGATATATTCCAACTTTACCATAGCCTTTGTTATTTCAAACAGTTTTTTATCACGCAAAAGACATAGTTACATATCATTTACTAGCAGATACTCCATATACATCATTTTTGCAGCAACCAGAAGAGAGCTAGGTATATAATATGCCGCCAGATTGCTTTAAAGGCCGTTTTCATAATTTAAGTTTTATTTATTTTAATATAGATTCGTTGTGTACACAGAGAACTTAGTACAAGCTTCTTAATATAGTGGATCCAAATGAACTTTACAGGATTTCATAAAAGGTGTTCAGTTTGACAGATTGATGTGGAACACAAAAAATAATTCAAAAGGTGTAGGTACTGTTACATGTTTTTTTTGTTCAATGTGGGTCCAATAAATTCATCACATATTCTAGAAACACCCTTTTGAGACAGTTGCATGATTTTTTATATCTGAATACAAGAAAGGCTAAAGTACCCTCTCGACATTCCACTGAAAAGCTTGTGCTTTGTCCAGAACAGCAAGAACAACTTAGTAGCTTTTGTAACTTAAAAAAAATATGTTTTTATAAAAACTTTTGAAACCTGTTGGGATACTCTGTGGCTTAAATTATTTTTATATTTGTTTTGATTGACCAATAGCAAAACATGAAAACATTCTAGTCTCTGCATGAATATATGTAATCTATATATTGTTTTGTTTAGGTATTTATTACTATAGTTGTACTGTTCTTTTCGTTTTTTATTATTAAAGTTTGATAAAAACGAAACTTGTTTTTTACCCTTTACGAACGTACCAAAACATATACCTATCTAGTAAAGAGATGAAATTTACTACAGATCACAGATACGCAGGGCTTTTTTAAGCATGTTAAAAAAATATCCGAATCTATAATTGTCAAAAATTACATTTGGCGAACGAAAGCACCGATTTCATTATTCAAAGTCTAATTTATGTCACATTAATTTATCACAGCATTTGCAATTACTTTGTTACAAATTTATGACTATGGTATCGACTGGACTATGGTAATCGCGCTGCTGACTCATCGTTCGTTGTCGACTCTCAAGCACGGACCCAGGAGATGGGGGTCATGACCCCACTGGGCGAATCTAGTTTGATCACAACCAGTTATGACTTTCGAATTTCTGATAAATTTAATAAAATACAGATTTTTGCATATATGTAATGGATGCAAACGGGTAAAAAAACGCCAGATTTGGTGAACAATCACCACACCTGACAACCCTGATCAATTTGTAAGCGCATCGATGTTGGCGGGGAATTGAGAGGGTTGCGTAAGTCTGGTTGCTTATACGTTCAACATGACGTAAGAATAAATAAAATAGTGATTCTGCCTTTTTCGGCTTGGTAGCACTGCATCTCCGTTAGTGCATTACTAGTAGTGAAGATCCAGGGTTGCCATATTGGGGGATTTTTACGTCCCTTGGAGAATTTTTGGAGGATAAAATGTTTTTGGGGAAAATAAAAACGTTGGGTATTTTTGATGTCTTTTATTCCATTTTTAACTACGAGAAGATGTCAACTGCTAGATAACAATATTATCTTTCTGCAGCTTTTTCTTCTCCCGTACCCAACATCTCCACAAAACATCTACGCTGACCCATCTCTACACCTTTACGTCAATTGTAGATTGGTAGACATGCATCTATAGTCATACAACACAGCAAAACAGAAGAATAATAATCAAATTCAAGCGAATAACCAAATGAAAATGGTATTTACCATTTTGGATTGGTATTTACCGATCCGTTCAAGCGAGTGTGGTTATCAGTTGGGTTCTAAAGTCGTGAATCAGCTGTTATATGTCATAGTTATCACCGTAACATTGTGGTATTTATATTCATAATCAAATCCAAGCGAATAACCAAAATTTCTGTGTTATGTGCCGCGGTTATAATATGGTTCAAGATGACACACGGGTTGATGACGTCAGTTACACGAATCGCTTGAACGCGTTGGTTTTAACCGCGGTTTTGTTGCAAGTTGTTTATTTTAGAAAAGCGCGTATATAATCTCTGATTATTTTTATTATCACTTAATAATCGGTGCTTTTTCCTCTACAACTGTATATGGAAAGTTTAAATAAGAAACCTTTCATAATATTCATGGGAGAAATGTTTTTTTCAGATTTTTTTTTAATGATGGAACCATGGCTTTATAGCTATGATAACTTTCAATTCTCTAAATTTTTCCGCATGTCAAAGAAAACATTTATTGATTCAGCAGAAATGATGAAAAAAGAAATTAGCAAAACCGTATACAGGTGGATATCATCTAGTGAGTTTATATGGCCATATTTTAATATTCTTGTTGTATATGGCTACACAGGATACTTTGTTAAGTATAGGAACTACATTTAAAGTGTCCCCAACAACCGTAATGAGTATAACTAATAAGGTGCTCCACTTTATGGTAAAACTGAAGTCAGCCTGTATCATTTTTCTCAAAAATGAAGCTGAAGTACAATAACAATATCCAATACCCGGCAAAATTCTAACTTGTCACATTTCAAATAATAACCAGAAATATAAAACTACTCTTGAGTTGGGTAAATACCATAATTTTGCGGTGATAACTATGACATATAACAGCTGATTCGTGACGTCACGGATCTTATAACCAAACTGATAACTACACTCGCTTGAACGGATTGGTAAATACCAACCCAAAATGGTAAATACCATTTCCAATTGGTTATCCGATTGAATTTGTTTCATGTCAGCGTTGGTCTTCGGTCATTTTGACGAAGAATTGATTTTTCAAATTTGTTATGTATAAACAGAAGGGGGTCAAAAACGGGGGGTTGCAGTCTTGCTTTCGGAAAACAGCTAGTAGGGTGACATAGAGTAGGTTATACTGATGCCAGAAATGCAAAAAACATTTTAGTCTTCGGACATTATGACGAAAAATAGATTTCCTCAAATTTGCTGTGTATAAAGTATGATAAGTGCAGTGTTAAGTTCGTGACTGATATATTGCACAATCGTATTGATTGTTGCAATATATTGCATGATTTTAATTTCCTTGTCCCGCGTTTGAATGCTAGACAATGCAATACCTTCTATTTGCCTACCCCTAGAACAAATATTTTAAAGTTTTCTCCATTGTATAGCTCATGTGGTAAAGCTAATGACATTGCGGATCAATTAGATATATTTCTCTGATGTCCTGTCTGCTGCGTGGTTCCTTATGATATCTTGTCTGCTATTTGCTATTTAATTTTTTTATCTACACTGCCATTTTTGTAAATATTTGTATATAGTATTCTTGTGATTGAACTTCCTACATTTGTGTGTAATATGTAAGATATTGTGTATTTTTGATATTTGGACTTTATCCTACTCTGTAATTGGCTTTGTACCTGTTGGGTAGAGTATAAATAAATAAATAAACAAATAGGGATAAAAAACGGTGCGTTCCGGACTTGCTTTCGGAAAACGGGTGGAAGAATGAAATGGAGTAGGTTGTATTATGCCAGATATGCAAAAAACCTTTTGGTCTTTGGCCATTTTGACGAATAATAGATTTTTCAAAGCTATGTATGTATAAACAAAGGGGGTCTAAAACAAGGTTCTGGATGTGCTTTCGAAAAATGGCTGGAAGGGTGTGATACAGTAGGTTATATTAATGCCAGGTATGCGAAAATCTTTTTGATCTTCGGCCATTTTTACGAATAATAGATTTTTCAAATTTTCGATACATACACAAAGGGGGTCGAAAATGGGGATACCGGAAAACGGCTGATTGGGTGTGACAGAGTAAGTTATATTGATGCCAGAAGTGTAAAAAACTTATTGGTCTTTGGCCATTTTGACGAATAACAGATTTTTCAAATTTGCTATGTATAAACAAAGAGGGGTCAAAAACGGGGGGTTCCAAACTTGGTTTGAGAAAACGGCTGGTAGGGTGTGATATAGTAGATTATACTGATGCCAGAAATGTGAAAAACCTTTTGGCCTTCGGCCATTTTAACGAATAAGAGATTTTTTAAAATTTGCAATGTATAAACTAAGAAGGATGAAAAACGGAGGATTCCGGACTTGCTTTCGGAAAACGGCTTGAAGGGTGTACTAGAGTAGGTTATACTGATGCCAGAAAAGTGAAAAAAAAATTTGTCTTCGGCCATACATATAGACGAATAATGGATTTTTTCAAATTAGTCATGTTTAGACCCTAGGCAACACCTTTCACCTCAAAAAGTATAGGCCAAAGATGTCATTCTTACCTTTCCAGTAGATTATATAACATATTACCAAATTATATAAGAAATATTTCAAATAAAACAAAATTCAAAATTGAAACCAAAAAATTTATAATTGAAAAAAATTGACATCAAATTGCAAACATGATACGTATGAAAGAAATTTAAAATTAATGTTATAGTAAAAACCCTCCAACGTTCATATACTCGTATATGTGTGTATGTGTGCATCTATTTATCTGTTTATTTGTATGAATGTATATACAGGGACTTTGAAGTTGAGTCATTAATTTTCAGATAATGATTGTAGAAGGAAGATAAACCAAAATATGTGTGTAAAAATGAAAAAAAAAAATAAAAAAAAAATCTTACCTTGTTTTATAACGTATCCTCCCGACAAGCATTTCAGTGCGGACCTGTATTTGATCGTGCGATCTTGGAGCACCGGCATGCCCTCCCCTGTGAGGTCTTAAGTCACCTGATTCACGAGCCCTTTGTACTACATTAACAAAGGCACGAGCGGTTGGTTGCACTCGATTGGGAAACTGATCCGCATAAATCCGTGATGCCGCGGCAGCATTTTGTAAAGACTCCTCCCCGTAAATAAGAATGATGTCCACAAGTTCAGAATTTTCGTAAACATGTGCCATTTTTTATTTCGTTTGAGCCACGCAACAAACACCACTATTCACTCACGCGTTACCAACTGACACATTGACTAAATACAACTGAATAAAATTGTAGTAAAAACATCGTGATAAGCGTTTCAAATTCTTTCGTTTTTTTTGTTTCCGATGCGATGAACCGATAAGGCGGATTATATCCGTTGTCGCCAAACACGAGCACATAATATTATTGAGACAGGGCGGTACTCAAACTTCTAAAGGGCTATAACTTTGTTACTTTAATTTTACCACAAAAATTTTAAAGGAAAAAACATTTATTTTGATCAGATCTACTCACTGTTAAAATAGTGAAGTCACCCTGTATATATGTATATATATATGTATATATACAGGGTGACTTCGAAGTTGAGTCATTTATTTTAACAGTGAGTAGATGTGATCAAAAGAAATGTTTTTTTCCTTTTCCATTTTTCTGGTAAAATTAAAGTAACAAAGTTATAGCCCTTTGGAAGTTTGAGTACCGCCCTGTCTCAATCATAATATTATGTGCTCGTGTTTGGCGACAACGGATATAATCCGCCGTATCGGTTCATCGCATCGGAAACAAAAAGCGAAAGAATTTGGAACGATGTTTTTACAATTATTTCATTCATTTGTATACAGTCAGTGTCAGTGAATAGTGGTATTCACACGCTAACCGACTGACACTGACTGTATGTATAACTGAACTGAATAAAATAATTTATTGTAAAAACATCGTTCCAAATTCTTTCGCTTTTTTGTTTCCGATGCGATGAACCGGTAAGGCGGATTATATCCGTTGTTGCCAAACACGAGCACATGATATTATTATTGAGACAGGGCGGTAC